ACCTTAATGTAGTAAAATCTGTTCAAACTATTCCTTTTAAGATTACAACTTAATAATTTGTAAATTATCTACTAGCAACTTGAAAAGTTACTCTATTTAGATTCCTACTATTAATTCAGCATTGTGCTTGTTGGTTCAAGTTCCAGGCCACTGCAAAATACTCACAACTGCAGCAGGCACTGTTCCAACAAAACAGCTTTTACATTTATTGACTTGCTCTTGCCCCTACATCACTACATATGTTTTGCAATTCAATACTGTCACAGCCCTGCTGGTACCATCACTTTACATCTAGTTTAAACAATAAGTGATTACTGGACTATGTGCCCAAAGGTTTTCAACACTTCAATTTGTCTGCACTTTAGGCCCAGGGAGCAAGACATATTCATATCACCCCTTTCCTCCAATGAGCTCAAGATGTATTCACCATTTTCTTCTACTCAGTTTTATCCTCTTAACACTGTGATGTAAATCAGGCTGAAAAAAAGGACTGGTCAAAAAACAAAGGTTTAGGCTCAGTGGCTCTTCCAAGTGAAGTTTAACATTTTCAGAAACAACCACCAAGTAGTAGTACTACAGTGGTTCCTCCACATTCACCGGGGTTGGGGTGAAGGACTTCCATGAATGTAGAAAAACTACAAATAAAAAACACTATTCTTTTTACCTGATAGAGCACCTCTTTAGGAATCTCAAGGTCCTCCAGTACAGGTCTATGGTCAACATCTGCCAGAATCATGCTGGAGGACCTACAAGTGCAGAGAAAAGTGCTTTCTCGAGAAACTTCTACATTCTCCAGCACAACTCTATGGTCAACCTTTGGTAGAATTGTGCTGGAAGACCCAGAGATTCCTAGAGAGAACATATTAATCAAAACTGCAAAAGTCAAAGCCGCAAATGTGGAGGGCCAATTGTATCAATATTATTTTGGTAAGTCAAAAGTTTAGAACTGATTAATATAGTTCTTGAAATCATAACATGCTAGCAATAAACCCTCTGATGACCTCCAAAAAGGACACCCAAGTTGGGGTTGGAGGTACTGCAGACTGCATCCCTGTACCATGACTGACAAATTTGAGACAGAAAACACAAGAAACTGCACACTTTTTCTAAGACTAGATTGTAAATGTAAACTGTATTTCAGTCAAAAGAACTGGTAAAGCCATCTCTGAGTATTCTTTGCCTAAGAAAACCATATGAAATTCATGCGGTCACAAGCTGGCAGACCACTTAAAAGGCACATGCACATAGTCTACTCTTAAGTAGTCCAGGCACTAACAATGCTTCCCCTGCCCACTTGGTAGCAGTGCCAAAGGTTTAGGCCAGGCTTTACCTCTCAAGCAGGCTGATTAAATGATTGTAGACTTTGATTAGCCCCACCTTAAAAGAGGTACCAACCTCTTTGGGTGCTCCACACATCACTACCTAGAAGTGGAAGCTTCCCTTTGAGTGCTTTGTCAACTGAGCTATACTGTACATCTTTGCAGTTGCAATGGCCCACGTGGGGTAGAAACATGTAATGTGTTTTAAATGCTGGACGAGGTTTAACTAATTCTAAGACCTTGCCTAACCAAACCACAGCCAACAGTGAAGAGGCCTACTGATGCAACTTTTTGCTTACCACAGAAGCCAGCCAGCCAGCCAGCTTCTAGCAAATCTGACAAGCCTCAGATTATTCTTTCCCAACCTCAACTGGAACTTCTTTGGGTTCCATGCTGTCCCTGCACTTAATATTTTAGTTCCCAGAAGGAGCAATGACAAGTTGACACTCAGCTGTCTGCCATCACCAGATATGAGAGGGAAAGCATGAATGTGTGGGTTATGATTGACTGGGTGC